ATCGACATATGTTATTTACAGATCCATCAATAACTCGAGTTATTGATAGAATGTTTATCGGACTTGTTTTATGTTTAATAATACAAAGAATGTTTAATATGCATCAGTAAAGTATCAATAAAAAATTAAATAATCAGTAAAGAATCAGTAAAAATTAAAGTATCAGTAAAAAATCAAATTAATAATTGAAATTCGTTAAATAATGATCATATCATTATTTTCATAAATCTTTTTTCTTTAATGATATTATGGAGCCACAAACCTATAGTTTTCTTTCTCGTGAATCTTTTGAAAGAATATTAGAAAAGCATGTCAATCAAAGAAAAATTAACCGAAGCTTAATGGATATTAATCGCTATAACGAATGTTTAAATGTATTAAAAAATCCAAGCTTTCAGCACAATTCAAAGTTAAAATACTGGATTACAAATACTTTTAAAATACTTCGTATTGGTATGACAGAAGAGCTTCATTTACTTAAACGGGATGAAAATAATTTGGGAACGCAAGTTTGCCCAATAGAGAATTTTTATGAAGTAATCTGTGCTGCGCATCAGGAGACAGAACATGGAGGCCAAGAAAAAACTTGGAAAAAAGTATCTATTTTTATTTAATTAGAGTTTAAGTAATTTATATAAAAATTGTATTTATATATTTTTATATTTTTTAAGATACGAGTTAGATATTGCTATATTCCACAACAAATTGTTGAGGATGCAATTCGTGAATGTAGAGTATGTATTACTCGACGAGCAACTAAAAGAGTTCCACCAATGCGACCAATTGTTTCTGAAGGTTTTTTGAATCATGTACAGGTATGTATATAAATATTAATATATATAATAATCATATAATTATGTATTAAATAATAAATCAATTATTAAATTATTATAGCTTGATACAATTAATATGACAGCGAAACCTGATGGGAATTTTAATTATATATTTCATATAAGAGATCATTTTACTCGTTTGTCTTATGCAGAACCAGCAGAATTCAAATCAGCTGAAGAAGCTTCTATAATATTATTTAATTTTTGTTTAATATATGGTCCACCTGCAATTCTTCATACTGATAATGGAGGAGAATTTATTGGAAAAATATTTAAAGAAACAACAAGCCTTTGGCCAAATATTAAATTAGTTAATGGCCGGCCTAGAAATCCTCAATGCCAAGGGCTTGTTGAAAAAGGAAATGATATTCTTCAAATGAAGTTAGGATGTTGGATGGAAGAAACATCTAGAGATGATTGGAGTGTTGGTTTAAAATTTGTAATTTGTAAGTATTTTTTAGTATATTAATTTATTATAAAATTTATTATGTGTATAGCTGTAATTTAAAAAAAGAAATTTTAATAATAATTACTATATACATACACAAATATTTTTATTATTAAAATTTCCTTTTAAATTATAGTAGTATCTATCGCTATAAGTTATTGTTAATTTTTTTATGTATTAAAAATTTATTATAATTAACTAATTTATTATTATTATTTTAAATTTTTTTATAGGGGCGATGAACAATCAATACTGTTCTGCACATAAAACTACACCTTATAATCTGGTATTTGGACAGTTACCTCATAGTGAAACTAGATTAGCTGATATTTTAATGAATAATGACTATAATCAAGAAGAATCATCTAATACTTCAGCAAATATTTTAGAATCAAACAATAATAATGATTCATATGATTATTTGTCTAATATTTTAGATGATTACTACAATCAAGATGAGTCATATAATCAAATTAAATCATCATTATATAATCGTAATCCAAATAATTCTTTTTCAGATGATTTTGAATCTAAACTTAATTTAGAAGGTTCTATTATATCTGATAATTATTATTCAAAAAGTTTCTTAGAAGATTTAAAAACCTATAGAACTCATCTTAAAATTATTGAATTAGATGATAATAATTTGAATAATGATTCATATAATTATTTGAATAATGATTTATATGATAATTTAATAGATTCAAGCAATAATATAATAGATTCATACAATAATATAATGAGCTCACAAGAAACTATTATAATTAGTAGTGATTCAGACAGTCAGTCTTATCGTTATACAGCTCAAGAAAAAGAAAAATGGCAGGAATCTACTATAGAGCCACAGCAAATAGCTACAAATTTAACTCGTCCTACATTTGAACAACATAGCAAAATCCGGCAAGCTGCTATTTCAAATGTTAAAAAAAATCGTGAAATTATTAAAAGTACAATGGAAATAAAATATGGAACTAAACGAAATCGGATATATGAACCTGGTGAATTTATAAAAATTCGTGTTCCTAATATTGATAAAGTAAAAATGAATAGAAGATCATTGCCTTGTAAAGTTATTCAAAAAAAACCTAATCAAGATTCATATCAAGTTGCTTGCAAGTTTGGAATACTTGAAAACTGGTATCCCGCAAATGAACTTGAACCATTAGGTACACCTGATTATCCCGACCTTGATATTGTTCCATTAAATAAGACACTATCATTAAGACAAGCAAGTATCAAACAAAATGATACATCTACAGCCCAATCTTCAAGCTCAAGACAAGCTAATCAAGAATTTGATGAAAGTTCGAATAATATATCAGAGTATGAATTTATTTTTGTTGATACGTATTAATTTTAATTTTTTATTTATTAACATAAATAGAATTTTTATAGCGATGATCAAAATCTTAATTTTTTTATGCAAAAAATTAAACATAAGAAAACTCATAACTGTCACTGCCGAAAAACTAGTTGTGAAACACAAACATGCTCTTGCCGAAAGCATAATTTAAAATGTTCAAGAAGATGTAGCTGCTTTTTACGTGGCCAATGCAAGAATAAAAGATAATGGCTATTTGTATTGAAATTTTTTTCAAAAAAAAAAAAAAAAAAAAAATTTGCTCGCATTTTTCGTATAATTACATTACGTTTAGTTAATATTTTGCATAGTTTTCAAATTCAATATGTTAGTCATTATTGTTTTTTATAATAACGATGATTTGTGATATACAGTATATATTTTCTAAAGAAATGCTTTGATATTCATATAATAATAATGATGTTTTATTCAAAATGCGTTTTAAAAAAAATACTTTAAAACTTATATTGGTAAAATTCATACCGATACCAATTTCCAAGTACAACATACGTTATTCTTGGATTCATAAATGACACATGTCAATCCTTGAATAACAGGAATCAATAAACGACGCATAACATATACACGAGACAGAACCAACTTAGGTTGAATTTCAAATGTATATTCTTCAAATGTAAAATGTATATTCAAATATATATTATTTTTTTTAAATTTTTTTTATTTTTTTTCATTATCGTTATTAAATTTTTTATTCTCATAATTTTGTAATTAGTCTTTTTAAATTAGGTCTTTGTTTTAAAAAAAGAAAATACATGTGTATATCATATTATTATCAATAGTACTTGATTAATTCTTGTCAATGATCACCGAAATCATTGTCACATGATTATCACTCATGTTAAAAATGGGTTGTCACACATTAAATGCTGGCAAGACAAATAACGTGGCAAAGTGGATTGGGATCCCATGTATAATTGATATAATTGGCTAGGTACAAAAATTCTAGAACAGTAAAATCCTATTCGTAAACTTTTTAATTTTTGATTTGTTTTGAAATTGATTAGAGTTAAATTTTGATAACGATAATGAACAAAATTCGCACGCCAAAAAAAGCTTTGTAAATTACTAGGGTGTAATCCTATTATTATTGGTACAATTAAGACTGGGCGGGATTGACATTTGGATGTGATGTTTGTTTATATCTTTTTTATTTGTAAGTTACATTAAATATTAAAAGTAACAATATGATCTAAAAAGTTATTGCCAAACAACCTTTTATATTAACTTCTAAAGTTTTCTGTAGTTTTCTGTACGAACACATATTTATAAAAGTTTTTCCTATAAATCTTTTATAATTAACCATTTTAAAGCTTTAGTAATCTAATATGGTTGATAGTATAATCGGAAATGTATGTTGATATTGTGTGTTTTAACTTTTTAAGATAATCCGAAAACTTTGAGCAATTACCAAATGATTAATAATTTATCGCACAAAAACCAATTTCGATATTGTTCAAAGACAAATATTTTTATTAATAAACTTTATTTTATCTGTTATGTCTGTTATTGATAACGTTTAAAAAAAAATACAGTTTATATAATTTATTAAATATGTCAAATAATCTTGAAGATCAATTTCAAATTCTTAAAATTGTATAACTCGAACCAATTACAAAGTTTCAAGTTATGTTCTGATGTTCTGATGTTTGCGATAAAACTTTTTTGACTACCAATCCTGGAAAATGATCTTCCTCAATTTAGATATCTAATAAATATTTTTTTTATGTTTGCAAAGAAAATAATAATAAAAAAAAAGAACATTTTCCTTTTTTCTATTTCTATACTTCTTCCTTGTAAATTACGTAATGATGATCGTACCCTTTTTAATAGAATGATCCAAATTGGCAACTTTATAATGCTATTAGACAAAATGAACTCGTTCAAAGATTTATAAATTTTTAGTATCAATAATAATATGCAGATGTTTTTGGAATTGAAGAACTTAACAGTTAAAATGTTGTATTTCTTTTTTTTTTTTTTTTTTTATAGTACATAAACAATTAATTTTTAATGCGTGAAATGTTTTAATTTCGTAGAAAATCTAACAACATAGCATCGCTTTCAAACATTCACCAAAAGTAGAAATTATCTGGAACATGGTCTTACCAGTTACTCTATAATTACTCTATAACTGATAATAACTCTATAATAACTCTATAATAACTCTATAATAACTCTACAATAACTCTATAATAACTCTATAATAACTCTATAATTACTCTATAATTACTCTATAATTATTCTATAATTACTTTATAATTTCTTTCATTGATTCATTTTATTCATATAATGCGGGGTCCCTTACATGAATATTTATCTATTTAACTCTTGTTATGCTCTAAGCTATCTGCGAATTCTTGCATCGCATCTCTTATTTTGTAGAGTTAAAAATATAAAAATATCAAGCGCATATATCACAGAAGAAATATTTTGAAAATATTTGATCCAATAGATTGATAAAGTTATAAAAAAAAAAGTTTTAGATGCATTGACTATTAAATGTTGTACAATTATGGTACTTGTATGGAACGATCCGCCACAAATGAAAAATGAATTTTCAAATTTGACCTCCCGTAAGATCGGATCCCAACTTTAATCATTATATAATGTTATCGACATCGTCGTAATTTTTTTTATGTGCATTCGGCCGTTATCTTTTAATGTAGCATAATAATTTAACATATGTAATCTAGTATGTTTATCACCTTTTCTGAGCCAATCTAATTCAGTTAACTTTTTTTTTTTTTTTTAAAAAAAAAAAATATATCACATTAAAAATTTACGGGGCTTGCACTTTTTTGGTTTCATCTCTTATTTGTATAGTAAACAAAAAAAATAATTGTAAATAACTTTATTTGATAATCCATAAAATTTTCAACTTTTTTTAATTTTTTTTTTTTTTTTTAATATTGACTTTATTTCTATTGGTAATCTCTTAAATAACAGTGAAAAACTTTAAATGTTTTTTCTTTTTTTTTTTCAAACAAAATGGTACGCTATAGTACAGATCAACTTAAATGTGTCAGAATGACATCTTAAGAGTTTAAAGAAGGTTTTTTTTTTTATTTTGTAAAATTCCTTAATTAAGAATATAAAAGATATGTAATCTGCACAAAATAGTCGCATGACACGTCATAATGGTAATTTGGTAATTATAATTAGGGAAATGTAATACTTTTGGTGGTGTATGCATATTTGAATACTTTTAAAAATACTTACACACGATATACGCGAAAAACAGTTTTACGAATATGCAAATAAGTACAGTCAAATTTCGAATATGCAAAT